ATAATATATTATATATATATTTAAGTTACATGTAGTAGGTATTTAAACCTTTTAAGATGGACCTGAGAAGCTCCCTCAACACATATAATTCAAGTATTATAAATAAATACACATCATTTGCTTTCCAGGATATATCATCTAATATAAGTTCTAGAATTGTTTTGTGTCCTTAAATGCTGAATACAACTTTTGAGAGAATCTACAACGTTCAGTGCTTCCTTCTTAGCTACATGGATAGCTTTAGGAAACCCTCCGGCCTTTCTTTTTGGTGTATTGCTATATATTGGGTGGTCAGAGCACTGCCATAATCTTTGCTAGGTATATACTTAGCAGAGAAAACTGAGTTTTGAATCCCTAGAAAGAAGAGAACATTGAATAAATAAGTTTTTAAAAATCATCCTGATTGCTAAATTCACTGCTCAGCAATTGTTAGAAAGTCTGTAATTTCTACCAGGCAATGAAGACTCATGGTCTGAGACTGAGGTTAAAAGTCTTTGGGAACCCAGACTTACTTACTTATGTCTGCTGATGGCATTCTTCCCTAGGCATTCACCGGCCTTTGGCACAGGGCTTCAAATAAACACCTGAGACTTGGTTTAGAACTCAAGGATGGGGGCACCTGGTGGCTCAGTCGGTTAAGTGTCCAACTCTTGATTTCGGTTCAGGTCATGACCTCACGGTTTGAGTTTGAGCCCAGCATTGGGCTCTGTGCAGACAGTATGGACCCTGCTTGGGATTCTCTCTCTTTCCCTCTCTCTCTGTTCCTGCCCTACTTGTGTGCTCTCTCTCTCTCTCTCTCTCTGCCTTTCAAAATAAATAGATAAATTTAAAAAATTAAAAGAAAAGAACTCAAGGATGACTTATCTTTCCCATTCCAAGGACACTTTACTAAATACATAATTATGCTGTTCCATCCTTCCTCCTCCACTGCTTTCTCCCCCTCTTCTTCCTCTTCTTCACCCTGAAACTCTCAGTATTTATCTTTCTGGGATTGCACTTGGTTGGTCAATCCAGTTCCCCTTGATGAAACATCCCAGTCATTTCAAGCCTTGTCAGAAATCATTGGTTCTGTTAGTTGCTTCATTGTCCATTTCTGTGTTTTCTTGTTTTCTTTTTAAAACTTGACTTTATCGCTCGATGAAGAGCGTTCTCTTTTCTTTCAGCATCAAGTGGATTGCCATCATGGAAAAGGCAGCCAACCAGGTCACAGCTCCTGTCACTGTGTAGGCGAGACCTAAGAAAAGGCTACTGCCTCCACTCCATGTCAGGGTGGAAAGAACAACTGATTTTTCTCCTTTGAACCTGGTTACTGGAAAATCTAAAACAAGAACTGTTAAGGACCTATCTCGACACTGTCAGCTCTACCACTGTATATCCTCAATATAGTACCAATATAGTATCCTCAATATCTGAACCACATAAATTTGTTGTTTTGTAGGTTAAAAGAATGGTTGAATATTCAATGTCATATTGTCTAATGTTTACCAAGCAATGTGGTGTATCTTGCTGGAATGAAATTAAGTAAAAAGAAGCCTTCTCTCACCATAGCTCTAGTCTATAAAAGAAATTCTGACACAAATACATCAGAATGGCTTACGGACAACTAAATTATGAACAAATATATTTAATTTCCTTTGGCAGACCCAAGGAAATGAAAAGAATACAGATGGGTTTTATAGCAAGCCTAAATTTATGTTTATGAATCAGGAGACCCAGCGTAGGCTAAAGTCCTTCATAGACTGTTTGAATTTCTACCTGAGGGAAAATTCTTCAAGACCAGTGAAGAAGAAAAAATAATGAGATAGATGGCAAAACATTTTTGGTGGGAAAGCTAAAGGTGGTGCATTCATTTGGGTTTTGAAAAAGCAAACATCCCTCACTGCCGGAGAGAAAATATTTGAAGTGGGTTTGCTATCGTTAGCATTTTAATGATGTCATTTTGATTATGCATGTGGCCTGAGGTTTTTAAACATCTGGTGCCTTTTGTAAACCAAACTAATAAACAAATAAAGGCTTCTCATAGCAACGGCACAGGACAGAAGCATTTCCCAGCAAAGCTCTTAAAAGGCCTCGAATCACTTGGCAACATGCGATTTAAAGGCACAAGGAAATTAACCAGTTTCCTAACAAGGAAACAAGTTCTCTCTCTTTCTTTTCCATCAGAATTCTTCACTGTCACCAGGTCCTTGAGTGCCACTTTGACCCACCTGCCTGTTTTCTTTCCTCAGTTCCATTAAGATCATTTCCTTGCACAAAGAACATCTTTTTCCCCTTAGGAGTGGTAGGTGTTTGCTGCAGCTGAGATATAGCTGTTCTCCTTGCATAGCAGCCAGGCCGTGAGGCAGGCTGGGTACCGCTCACATCAGGGCTCAGCATGGTGAGCACAAGTATAGGACTGAAACTCAGGATCTAGGTTCTGCTTGCTAGATTTACACTTGAGAGTCATCAGCATTAAAATATGACTGTGAGCGAAGTCACCTGAGGAGAGCTTGTCTCCAGAGGAGAAACAGAGTGTCTCCTTTGTTTGGAACCCAGGCTTCTCCTCAACTTGAAACTCCTTATCATGCATTGTGAGGACATGATTGGTTTTTTTCTTCCTGTTTTGTGATTGCTACTGTAACTGGTAAGGCAGTCATAGACAAAGTTGGTGGCACCGGAAGATCTAATTTGAGAGACTGCTGTCAAGCAACTTTCAATCTCAAATTTTGGGGGGGGGGGGGTTGCTAAAATCCTATTAAAAAGGTAATAGTCTTTGGCTTACTCTTTGATGTGTATGGATAATGCTGCATAAGAGAAATCAGTTTGTGGCTTTCATTTTCATTTTGGGAGACATGAAAATGAACAAACTGAAGGCAAACTGTACTCCTCATCAGTGAACAAAAAGGAGGCAACAGGCTGAGAAGTAGAGACTGTGTCACGTCGGTAGGGGCGTCTTTGACTGAGGAAGGTTCCCCTCCCCTGTCAGGATGGAGATATCCACACTCCAGGATAGAAAAGAAGATGGAGCTGGGAACTGGAACACATGCAGTCAATTCACTTATTCTCAAGTATTTCTCATTCAAGCTCCCTGAGAGGTATAGAAACTAAGGAGGGAGAGAGCTTTGTGTTAAGATCCTCTGGCCTGCCACGGGCCCCAAGAACAACCCCCAGTCAGTAACCCTGAGATGCTACTGGAAGTGCTGATGCTTATTTGGGCTGATGTCCCAAAGTTTTTACAAGCCCTGGAAAGTTTCAGCTTCAAGGAGAATTAGGAAGAGACTTTAAAGTCTGATGATGACAGTGAGTATAAATTGCTTATAAATATATATATTTTTTAAAAAACAGTGTTTGGTGTCATTTTGAAATTAAGTCTTTTTGTTTTTAGATCAAGAGTTACATTTGTATTTTTGAACTAAGTAAAAAATTCAGAATCTCATATGAAAGCATGTATCTCCTAACTTGGACCTTATGTCTGTAACCAAGGCACTGACCCCTACTAGCTGGCTTTGTGCCAAAGGAAGGAAGAATAGCGTCTTCAGAGCACAGCTTACAGCACACATCACATGGGTTGGATGATCCCGACCTGCTTCTTGAGTCCGGGGCTCCCTTGGTCTATAGTTTTGCCTAGAATAAAAGGCTCTACAGTCTCAGTTTTCATTATTTTTAGCCCATTTTCTACATTTACTTCTTATCAAATTGCTCTCTCTTCATTACTATGGTCCTCCAAACTCATCCCATCTTACATAGCAGTCTTTTCCTCTCTGTTAAAGATCTCAAGGCTCCGTGGTACTTAATCTTTATTGGAGGATAGAAATATCCCTCCTTACTTACCCATACCTACTTACCTGATACTGCTTTACTGTTATTCCTAAAAAACCCATTGTACACATTTGATTACATAAGGTGTAGAAAAACAGCTATATGGTGGCAAGTGACAGTATTACCTATGAGAGAACTATATATTTCTTCTTCATATAGATAGATTAGATTGTAGAATAGAAAAGTAAAAAATGAAATAATTCAACAACTAGTGCCCAGATGGACACTGATTTTCCTTCATCCCCAGGAGCAAAAGTGGTATAAAAGGATACTGTAGGTAATGTTGAAACTGTAGTTACCAGCAGGCAAGCCTTCAATAAAATACTGTACTCGATTGAGTCGACGGTATAGTTTTTTGAAAGTGGGAAAGGCAGCTGTCCGCATCCACACAATGAAGTCATCATTGAGGAAGCCATTGTTTTCTGTATCCTCTAAATCCAGTTCATAGACAGGTTTAGACCAGTATGGGGGCTTTGCGGTTCCTGTGGGAAGAAAATAATGGACATGGTTGAAAGAAATCATTTATACCCATTCAGTTTTCCTTAGAATGTAGAGAATGAAAAAACTTTTGCATTAAGAGAAATAAAAATTAAGACTTAAAAAACAGTGTGTGTGTGTGTGTGTGTGTGTGTGAGCATGTGTGTGAGCTCTCTGAATACATAACCACTAAAAATAATGGATTAAAAAGACTCTAGAGAAATGTAGGGGAAATAATGATGATTTGTCATAGGGTTAAAAAAGAACAGAGTATCAAATTATATGTATATTATGTGTTCAACTACATTAAATGCATATAAAGCACTGAGAAAAAACAGGTAGAGAAAATTATAATAGTGGTTGTATTCAGTGATATCATCATAGGTTCTGTATTTTCTTTAACTTCATTAGTAATTTAAAGAGAGAAAATTAAAACAAGATATGATCATTTCACCTAACTTGGTTAATTGGTAAAGAGAAAAAGAGTGACAACCCTTGATGATGCAATGGAAATGGGAACTCTTGAACAGAGCAGAGAAATGTGTGGATTAATAACACCTCTGGCAATCTAGGAACGTGCATCAAAAAGTTTGATAAGGGTGCCTGGGTGGCTCAGTCGGTTAAATGTCTGACTCTTGATTTTGGTTCAGATCACGATCTCACAGTCTGTGGGTTCGAGCCCTGCATTGGGCTCTGTGCTGACAGTGCAGAGCCTACTTGGGATTCTCTCTCTCCCTCTCTCTTTGCCCCTACCCCTGTCTCTCTCTTGCTCTCTCTCTCTCAAAATAAATAAACTTTTTTTTTAAAAAAGGTTTAATTATATTTTGGTCTAGAAATTCTACTTCTAGAAATGTAATCTAAGGAAATTATCATGTCTGTGCATGAAGATCGTGTTAAAAAGAGATTCTCTGCAATAGTGTGCCTAAGAGCTGAAGGCCGGAAGTGAGGAGGAACTGGTAGATGGGAGGAGGTGAAGAGCAACGGTACTGCAAGCCTCTTCTAAATCGAGGAGGCCTAGTCGGTTTGGGTGCTGTGGGAATGTTGGAAGCACAGGAGGGAGGGCCAGTGCCAGGAAATGAGTCTGTTGAGTTTAGTCTCATTCTCATACTTCCCACTTTAGGGCCCATGGTGGGCATGTCTGCCTCTCCCACTCTACAGCAGATTCTTGAGTACAATGTCTTCCTCATCTTTTTTCTGCTGGCATTTAGTCTAGTGCCTGGCACATAGTAGGTATTCAATATATGCTCAATAAAGGAATGAGTGGTTCTAATTAAAGCTGACAGAAGTTGATCCTAAAAACTATATTGAATTTTAAAGAATGAGTTAATAATGGAAAATTGTTTAATGAACTTTTTAGTTCCAGACAATTGGTCCTAGTATTTGTAGAAAACAAAATGAAAAAGGGAAAACCACTCTTTCTCAACTCTGACAATTAACTAAACTATTTTCTCTTAAAAGAAACCCAGTCGTGTTTTCTAAGCATGGGGTGTGGTGCTGGTAAAAGTGAGTACTGTGTTTGGTTGGATTAATCTGTTGAAGTATGTTTGTATTCTTAAACACTTCCTCAGGAAACAATCCTTTGCTGGAGAAACTTCCTCTGCAAATTCTGTGGAGCTCACCTATTTTGACCCTTCCCAAAACTTCAATCACTGTTGCCAGAAGAATTTTGATAAAAATTGAAATTGCCTTTGGTACCCATACTGTGGACCTCACCCTCTGTCTACTTTAGCCAGAGACATGCCCTAAGACAATGTGTCCTATGGGCACATTGACACCCAAGTCACCCAAGGAGCTTGTTAAAAATGTAGGTTCAAGCATGCCTTCTCCTACCAACCCCGCTCCCACTCCATCCCACTACTGAAGAGTATAAGAAGTGTGGTTTAAGAGGCACCACTTTTCTTCATTTTCCAAGTTGGGTCATTTACTTTTATCCATTCATTCAACAATAAGCTTTTCTTGATTGCTCACTATGTATGAAGGAACAGGGATATAAAACTTCCTAATTTCCTCAGGGAATTCACAGACTTGAAGTGGGGATGACAAGTATTCAAATAGATAATTACAAGATAATGTGGTAACTCTTACAGTGAAGGTAAGAACAAAGTATAGCAGAAGATGAAAGCCAAGACCCCTGTGTGTTATAGGCCTGTGGTTATGTGGGAAGACAAAACTATAGAATGCTGCCAAGTTCCTTTCAAACAGTAGGAAGTCAATCAGAGATAAAGTGACCATACATGCCCGTTTGTCTAAAGCAGTTCCAGCTGATGTCTGTTGTCTGTTATCCCAACTGACTTAGCATTTACCCCAAACAAATAATATGTTTATAACTCCATCCCTCCACCTTCCAAGTCTTAACGGGTAGTGTGTGAAATACCAATGTGCAGTGAATGGAGTACTTACTTTAATGTGTAATTAGTGAAAGATAACCAGAGACCCTTTCAATCAAAACACAACATATTCCTGTGACCTCTGCCAGCTGTTTGACACTCCAACTGATTAGGTCATAACCTCACTCTTGGCCTGTGAGATGCATGAAGATGCCAGTCTATAAGCCAGTGGGATCAGTGGGAAACATGGGAAATTATAGGTTACATTATACATACATGATATATGTGGGAAATAGATGCTGAACGGTCTTGCTGAGAGTCATCTGAACTCCCTTGCAACTGTGGTTTTATTATTTATTATATGGTGCAAATATGTAACTATTTTATTGTTTGGTATCAGTTTTTATTTGCTAGAAAGTCCCTGTAGCTGTGAAGAGTTAAAAAGGGAACACATATGTTTAATATAAAATTAAGTACAGTTTCTTGAGAAAGTTGATGAATGTGAAACTTGCAGTGTTAGTTGACATTTACCCCACAACAGGGGAATCATTGTGATGTCAGTGACTGAGTGAAAATTAAAAGACATAAATCTGCTGAAGAACATCAGAATCTACTTTAGAAGTTTGTGGCTATTTTTAGAAGAGTGTATCCAAAGACAATGCTTTACCTCAGATAGCTACAGAATGTCTATTTATATCTAATAATGTGAGCATGACCTTGACTTGTCATTTAGATCAAGTGAGCTTCCTTCTCCTTTTATTTAGAGGGTTTGTTGTTGTTGTTGTGTTGTTGTTGTGTTGTTGTTACCAAAAAAGAAAAAAAAAGCTTTCATGTTTTGCCTCTATTAGCACAAAAAACCACTTTGTAAACAGTTAAATGAGGCAAGTTTTACATTAGTGTCTTCAGATGTTTCAAATAGAAACACCAGACAAGTTAATTATAATGCTGGTCTGATTTTTTGGGTTTGATTTTTCATGGAATCAAAGCAAGGTTTTTAGATATTCAATCTTGAAAGATAAAGCCTCTAATATTATAATAAATTGATTCTAAATTCAGTTAAAAAATTCAAACAGCAAGTGTAAATTTTTGGCTTTGTAGTGATAATATAAATACAAATGTGGTGGAGCACAATATCAGAATAAAGATAATGTTCTTAATAAATTGAGAAATTTACACAACAATGTTCTTAAATTGGTTGTAGTACATACATAATTTATAATTATATCCAAACAAGCTACACTATTTTACCAATCAAAAGAAGAGCTGTAGTTGTGCAAATTTAAATATTTTTGAAACTGAACTGCAAAATTTTTACAGTAATAGGGATGCTAAATTAAGGAAATACATCAGCATGGTATGTGGCCTGTCTTTGTTATATATCATCAACCAGAAATTTAGAAATGTTTGAGCCTTTGAAGAACTATTTTATATACCAAAAGATGTGTCCTACAATGATCTCAAACTTTTTTAAGCCCTCTAACTTTTGGTTGAATTTAATTCAAAAGAGTTGAAAAATTTTAAACAAAGTATCCAAAATATGGAATATCAAAAAACTTCAGTTTTTGATTTAATGAATTATAGTTATTGAAAGCCAAGCTTGCAAACAAGAAGATATTAAAATTTACCCCCCAAAAAGCAGGAAATTATTGAACATATTACATAATAAGAGGTCAAAATGTGTACAAATTTAAATTTTAAATTCTATGATTGTGGGGCACCTGGGTGGCTCAGTTGGTTAAGTGTCTAACTTGGGTTCAGGTCATGATCTCACAGCCCGTGGGTTTGAGCCATTGTCAGGCTCTGTCCTGACAGCTCAGAAACCTGGAGCCTGCTTCAGATTCTGTGTGTCCGTCTTTCTGTGTCCCTCCCTGACTCACGTTCTGTCTCTCTCTTTCTCAAAAATAAATAAACATTTAAAAACAAATTCTATAATTCTGCTCTGGATATTTCAATTTATGTAAAAACTCTTTTGATGGAGCTCCTATTTTATTTATTTATTAATTATTTTGTTTATTTCATTTCATTGTCTTTTCTTTTTTTTTTAAAGTAGGCTTCGTGCCCAGTGCAAAACCCAACACAGAACATGAACTCATGACCCTGAGATCAAGAGTCAGATGCTTAACTGACTGAGCCACCCAGGCACCCTGGAACTCTTATTTTTAACTGAATAAAAAATGTTTTTCTCTTCCAGAATTAAATGATATCAAGAAAGTTTAATATTGTATAGCATCTGGAGGAGGGGCCAAAAATGGCAGAACAGCGTGGAAAATTTTTTTTGCATCTCTTATCCCTGAAATGCAGCCTGATCAACACTAAATCATCTCACACACCTAGAAAACTGATTTCAGGATTAACACAACAATCTGCACAACCCGAACCACAGAACTCAGCAGGTACATGGTGCAGAGAGGTGAACTGGGGGAGAGAGAAGCTGTGGAGGGCAGGGAACTGTATTTGCTTGCGGAGAGAGCACAGAGATGGGGGAAGAGTACTGGAAAATCAGCCCCCCCACCCAAAAAAAAAGCAGCTGGAGAGAAAGTGGAAAAGTGGAATCAGTCACAGGGATGGAACAAAAAAAAAAAAGGGAGAAGGGAGAAGGGAGAAGGGAGAAAGGAGAGGGTTTAAGTTCCATTAAGACTCTATAAACAGGGGAAGTGCAGAGTCTGAAACTCTGCAGCTTGATACCTGGAAGTGCTCTGGTGGGAAGGGCAAATCCCCAGGAGCAGAAAGCGAGGTCACACAGGAGAGGTGGTTCCCCTGCTGGGAGGGCATTTGGTAGAGGCTGTGTGGCCCTCCCACAGGCAAAGGCCCCAGCGGACCCTGGAGAACAGCCACATTGGCTGGTGCTGGAACAAGGACATTAAGGGGAAGCCTGGTGCCAGATGTGTGTTGTGATTTTCCATAAACCCTGAAACACTGCTGCTACAAGATCACGTGAACTGTTTTTGGAGTAGACTGGCACCCAGCTGTAGTCTCTGGGCATCAGCAGCAGCAGTCTCCCAAACATTCCTGGGGGTGGGTTGGCATCCAGCCATTGCTCAACAAGACCCTCCTCCAGAAGGTCTGAGCAGGTCAGAGCTGCAGTCCCTCAGAAGTCAGGGGTTGGGAAACACAGCCGCATCTGAGTCAGGTGCCGCCTGGCAACCTGACTGCTTGGTCACAGACAGTGTAAAAGCGGGTAGTGGACAGAAGCCCAAGACAAAGGAAGGGTGCTTGATTGCCAGTCACAGAGAGCACAGAGTTCCGATACTAGAGACTGGGTAGCTGGGTGACACCATTTTCAGCCCTTCTGCACATGGGCATACACACCTACATATGCCACAACAATCCACCCCAGTAAGCTAAGCAGCACCATCTAGTGGAGAACAGACCTTTACACTAAACCCTGCCTAACTGGGCCAACAGTGCTCTTGACAAACACGTCTCTCCCCCTGCTTAGTTTATGGACTACAAAGTGCTTCATAGCTTCACTTCTATGGGAAACCAGATGTAATTTCAATGGTACTTCATTCTATTCGCTAGTCCTTTTATTCAATTTTTTTTCTTTTCTTATTCTTGAATACAGAAAAAGAAAAAAATCTATTTTTATTTTCTATTTTTATTAAAAAGATTTTTCTTTAACTTTTTCTACTATATTTTTTACATTTTTAAAATTTTAAAAATTCTATTTGACTTTCATCATTTTATTTTATTCTATTCAAAGCATTTTCCTTTTTTACCTCTTTTTTCCTTTTCTAATTTTTTCCTTTTATTCTCTAATCTGTCAAGCTTTTTGGGGTAGTATTGACATTTTAACAATATTTATTCTTCCAATCCATGAGTATGGACTGTTTTTCCATTTCTTCATGTCTTCTTCAATTTCTTTCATAAACTTTCTATAGTTTTCAGTGCACTGATCATTTACCTTTCTGATTAGGTTTATTCCTAGGTACCTTATGGTTTTTGGTGCAAAAATATTTCAATAAAATGTTTTTAAAATAATAGAACAGATTCATTAGAAAAATAAAGAGGCATGTGGGTTCCCTGGGTGGCTCAGTTGGTTAAGCATCTGACTTCAGCTTAGGTCATGATCTCACAGTTCATGAGTTTGAGCCCCACATCAGGCTCTGCGCTCATAGCTCAGAGCCTGGAGCCTGCTTTAGATTCTGTGTTTCCCTCTCTCTCTGCCCCTCCCCTGCTTGTGCTCCCTCTTTCTCTCTCAAAAATAAATAAATGTTAAAAAAAACTATAAGAAAAAATAAAAATACAGAGGCATGTAATGAAGACAGATATGGCCAAGAAACTGATTAAAGTATGTGACTATCCAGAATAATTATTCTGCTTATGTTATTTTTAATATTCTAATAATAAAGTAGTTTTTTTAGGTTGTTTTAATATACACAGATATGTCATTTTAAGTTTTGAAAGAATTGCATTTTAAAATAGTTTGTATAGAATTATTTTACAGGCCCACCAATAGGGTAATGTCAATTTATTGATAAATAAATACAAATTTCAAACAAACATATGACTTGACTTATTCTCGTGCCCCTTTTTACTCTCAAAAGTGCACCAGGTTGGACAATAAATTACATGGTGACCCTAATTACAGATGAAGCAACACGTTTTTTAAAACATTGCCTTTTTCCAAATGATAAACTGAAAGAACCAGGGCACCAATCATTTCATGTTTCTGATAGGTATATGATGGAGGTGCCTGCAGGTAGGGAAAGTTAGAGCAAAACGGAGGTCAACAAAAAGTAAAGAAGGAGGTATCATAAACATTTCCCCATATATAAAAATCAATGTTTCTGTAAAGAGGTAAAAATATTTAACATATGTATCTTACCTGTAAATGCACTAGAAAGATTAATGGCACTTGGATTCCGAAACTTGACATACTTATCTGTCCACCATGTAATTCCGCTCCTTAGCATTGGGACTTCCATATGTATAGATGAATTAAGGTTGTAGGAAAGAATGATGGTATCTGTAAGGAAATTAAAAATTGTCAGAGATATAAGCAAGCATTTTTGCCCCACTTCAAAGTACAAAACCAGACACAGATGAAAAATAAACTAGGGTTTCAGTAGACTCTCAACATGCCTACATGCAATAGGTGTTGGAATTATAAGACTATTCTTTTTCTTGCCAAAGCCTCAAATATTGGAAAATACTGTCAAGCTCCATTTAGCTCATGTTCCCTAACTACTTCAAATCTCTGGTAAGGGAGAACTTATTTGCAAATGAAATACCATAAGTCAATGGATAATGCATACAAAAATTTTTCTTGAACTGCCAGTTGCAGAGTTGATCTTCTGGACATTTAGGTTATTACACGCTTATGAAAAGGCACACCATGGAGACAGGAAAAGTCACCTACCATTGAATATGCTGTTGGCAATAGCACCACAAGGAGCGATGGGGGTCCCATTGTGGGACTTGCTAAATGGAGCACAGTTTCCAACATCCTGGATGCAAGATGATACAGTAAAGAGAAATGCTTTGGTAAATTCTCTTAGAATGTTAAAAGTGACAACACTGGCAATGTAAATCAACCCACAGTAATTTATTCACACATAACAAGATTATGGACTGCTACCAACTTTTCCCAGACTTCTGGCTCACTTAGACTCAGAAATTTTTGTGTTTTGGAGACGTGTGTGTGTGTGTGTGTGTGTGTGTGTGTGTGTGTGTGTGTGTAGTTTTTTCCCCCTTATTAACAATATGTAACATACCAATATATCTGCAGAAAGGAACTTAACTTGCTGGCTGTGCTAAATATCACACTAAGCTACACTGAAATACATTTTTAAACCCCTTTTTTTGTCAAAGTGTAACTCATATTCTGAAACTATACAAATGGTGAGTTTATATAGCTAGATGACTTATCACAGGGAATCCATACAGCTAACTACCAGAATGTATCTAAAAAGAGTGGTTGCTAAAAAATCATTTGATTATCACTTGCATATAATAATCTCAGTATGGAAAAGGTTTCCTTCTAGCTTTTTTTGCTAGCGTGGTGAGTATCATTTATCAAGAATAAAATTTTGTGTTCTAGGTGAGAAAGGGTATTTAATTAAACCAAAGTCTTTTAATCAATCAATCAAGTAGGGCTGAATTTCCTTAATCTGGTCTGGAATGAACGTCCCAGTTATTGGAAGAACAATGGTAGGTATACAGGGAACTGGATTGAGACCAACCACTCAGAGTTACTACCAAAATGGTTGGTGCAGGAAAGGATAACCATTTAATTGGACAAGATACACATTACTGTTTTGAAGAGAGAAACCATGCCTCTCAATAGCAATTATACTGAAAACCCAGCTCCTTCAATTTATGCAAGAATGAAATGAGCATTCCTGCCTTGTAAAACTTTACGTTTTTAGTTTATTTTCCAAACTCTCTTTTAGACTGAAAGATCCACCTGGTCTTTAAAAAAAGGAGTATTATACCAAATTAAATAAAGTCTTACCTTTAAATCTGTACCCACCAGTTGGCTATTACTTCTGGATAGAATATATCGATAAAGATTCTGATAGAAGCCATATAACTTGTAGTACAAATAAACATTGCCCTGTAAAGGAGAAAAGCAAGAAGAGCAGAGTAAGAAGAATTAACTAGAATATTAATAAACACAGACAGGATTTCTGTAATAAAAAGTACCACAGAAAAAATTGATGGGAACTGAAAATTTCTTTCTTAAAATTTTTTTCAAATTTTATTTTAGAGAAAGAGAGCAAGCGAGCACAAGTGGAGCAGGTACAGAGGGAGAGAGAATCTTAAGTAGGCCCCATTTTCAGCCCTGAGCCCCACGCAGGGCTTGATCCCACAGCCCTGGGATCATGACCTGAGCTGAATTCATGAGTGTGATGCTTAATGGACTGAGCTACCCAGGTGCCCTGGGAACTGTAAGTTTCTTTATATCAAACAGAAACCCAAGACATCATTTTAAAAAAATCAGTGATGGAAAATCCTCATTTACACAGAATTATTAAAATAACCAATTAATTTATTTGAGATGATTTTGTAAGGGCTACTGTGTTCCTGCCATGAAAAGATTTTAAAACCATGAAAAGATTTTGTATTCTCAATATATAAAATTGATGTAACAAATATTGTTGTTTCCTAGCAATAGTAGGAAAAATGCTTTGCCTAGGAGTTGTGGTAGGCATCAAAGCCAATGATTTCAAAGCAAATCCTTGAACATATTTGAAGCTGGAACCACCAAGCATATTTGGGTGCATGTGAAAGGCATGAGATTAGCCCTGTGTGGTCTGTCTGGCTCCAGGGGTTTTGTCTTTGTATCCCTAGGATCTAACACAGTACCTGGCACACAGCACTTGCTCAAGAAATGGTGAACCATTCATTATGGACAAAAAAGGGGAATAGAATAACTCATGGTTCTGAGAGAAAGGTTATTTTCACCTTAGTGATAAGTCACCTTGTTGCCAGGAGAGATGGTCCTTTTCATGTATGCTGTCCTATGAGGCTGCCTCATCACAGGCTACCAGCATGCTTATCTTTATAGTGACATACCCAAATTCTCCAGCAGACTTGATACAGATTTTACTAACAGCATATATGATGCAAATGGAAATGACCAATGTGGCTGTTTATAATTAATATACTACCTACCTCCAAAATAATGAAGGCCTGCATCCAAAAATATGAAGGCCTTTATTAAGTGCTCTCCATATGTTAGATGCTATATTCAGTGCTAGAAATACAAATATATTCCTTTTCAATCTCCTGAGTCAATTGATTCTCTTATACTATGGAAAAATGGCATTTTGGAAAGGCTTCTGGTCTCACCCCAAGGACACTTAAGTGGGTAAGTATGGAAAATGTGAGCTGGTACTCAGGGCAGGCTGGAAATAAGGGCCATGGTAACTGTGGCCAGTTACAGAAAACAACAAAGGCTGAAGAGCTCAGTCACTTGTAAGAGAAAAGTGTCTGGAACACCAAGAAAGGGGAGATTCTGGGTCACGACAGAGAGGTAGGCTGCAATACCATAAACAGAGAGCGTGTAAGGCGAGCGAGCCAGGCATAGCAAGAATGACTGATCACCTTTCCTCACCCAACAAGCGAACCTCTATTGTTGACCCATAACTATAGAAAATATGAAACCCACAGAGTGGAATTTACCATACATTTTCTTGGAAGCTAAAAAGAGAATTCCACTTACCCAAAGTTATATGTTCATATAAAGGACAAAATAAACAGGCAAAGAACACTCACCACACCAGGGACAGAAGTGTTTCAATAACCTTTTTTCAATGATTCTTTGTCCAAGATTTAACTTAACAAAGCCTCCCAGATCATCATCTTTTTTATTGGTCCTAGAGGCATAAGGTACTTTATGGTGTTGCTTCTCTTTAAATTCAGTGGCACTTTGTGTAGGACTCCTAGTTTAAGGCAGTCTTCTGTGAATTTACTGACTAGCATGTGTAATGTGTGCTAACTGGTGAACCGAAGGCCCTGTTGTTGCCCTAACTGGTTTGGTTGGATTTTTATGAGAACGTCTTTGCCTGAAAGGAATGGTTAGCAGCTGGTAACATTTATTTGACTTAAAGGTTTCAAAGGACACAGACAGATGGAAACTAAAGCCCTTTAAGAATTTATCTTTTTGAATTTTTTCTTCAAAAATTTAAGTACTCTGAGACTCCAGGAAGGAATCAACCCTGCTGACACCTTGATTTCAGACTTTTGACTTCCAGAACTGTGAGAGAATGGTTTTCCGTTGTTTTAAGCAACCCTCCTGCCCTGCCAGTTAAGCAACACTAACTTTTTTTTTTTCCAATTGAAGTACAGTTGATACCCGATGTTACATGAGCTTCAGGTGTACAACATAGTGATTTGACAAGTCTACACATTATGCTATACTTACTACAATTGTAGCTATCATCTGTTACCATACAATGCTGTAACAACACATTGACTATATTCCCTATGATACACCTTTTTCCCTGTGACTTATTCATTATATAAATGGAAGCCTGTATCTCTCATTCCCCTTCACCTATTTTGCCCATGCCCCTACTCCCTCCCTCTGTCCACCACCAGCTGGTTCTGTGTTTATGAGTCTGTTTCTGCTTTCTAAGCAACACTTTAAAAAAAAAAGTTTATTTATTTTGGGAGAGAGAGACAGAGAGACAGAGACAGAGAGAGAGGGAACGAGTGGGGAGGGGCAGAAAGAGAGGGAAAGAGAGAATCCCAAGCAGGATCTGTGCTGTCAGCACGGAGCCTGACATGGGGCTCCATCCCACGAACCATGAGATCATGACCTGAGCCAAAAACCAAGAATCAGACACTCAGCAAACTGAGCCACTCAGGTGCCCCATAAACAATACTTTTACTTTGGGGGAGCAGCATGGTGAGTTGAGGAAGGCAAGAGAGGGCATAGCTGTAGAGAACTAGGATTCTGATCTATAAAAACACATATGTAAAACTTCCCTCACTGACTGCAAATATCACTTAACCCAAGTAAAACTCAGTAATTTCCTTACAGTTTATATCTGACTTACCTAAAAAAATTGATTAGGGGGGCCTGGGTGGCTCAGTTGGTTAAGTGTTCAACTCTTGATTTTGGTTCAGCTCATGATCTCAGGTTTGTGGGATCGAGCCCCCAGTCAGGCTCTATGCTGGCAGCGCACAGCCTGCTTGGGATTCTCTCTCTCCCTCTCTGTCTGCCCCTTCCTTGCTTGCATGTGCACTTTCTCTCAAATAATAAATATATAAACTTAAAAAAATTGATTAACACTAGCCATAATCAATATAGATGTATTCAGAATATTACTAATGCCAACATGCTTTCATTTGGGATCATAGGGGAAATAAGAAAGGGTCACATAAAACCAAAGCTTCCTAGGACATAAAGCCATACAACTTAGGACTTTATATTTCCTGCATTCATGTAGTCTTTCAACAAACATTTTCTGAGCATCTACCACATAAAATAGACTGTGCTGGGTACTGTGGAGGAAGCAAAGATTCATATGTTCATTCAATAAACATTAATTGAGCACCTATAGTGTGCCAGGTAACTTATAGGTGCTTGGGACACAACAGTGAGAAATGGACAATAAACAATACTATATCATAAACTATTAATTCATATGGCAAGTTAGAAGGTGATAAGTATTAATGGAAAAAATTAAAATTACAGCAAGTTAACAAAGATCAGGAGTATTACAGGGGTGAGTTGAGTAGATATGTTGCAGTGTGAAATAGGATGGCCAGTGTAGACCTTACTGCGGAGAGGGTTGAGTCAAGACCTGAAGGAGGTAGGGCAATTAGCCAAGTGTATAACAGGTACAGGGGACAAGGCAAGAGAATGCCTGACTTATTTGAGGAGTAAGGGGTCCATTGTGGTGAGAGTGGGGTTGGGGGAAGAGAATGGGGGGATTGATTAGGTCAGAGAGGAAATAAGATGACAAATCATGTAAGGCCTTGTAAGAACTTAAGATTTCACTGAGTAGAAAGAGGAGCCATACGGGGATTTTTTTTTTTTTAAGTTTGTTTATTTATAATTTTTATACCCAACATGAGGCTCCAACTCATGACCCTAAGATTAAGACTCATGTGCCCTTCCAACGGAGCCAGTGGGGTGCCTCCACTGCAGGGATTTTTTGAACGAAGTAATAACATATGTCTTAGGATTTAAATTCTCACTCTGGCTGCTATATTGAAACATGAATATAAGCAAGGAGACCTATTAGGAGGCTATTTCAGAAATCCAAGTAAGAGGTGGAATGGCATGCAGCTAGGTGGTAGCACAAGAGGCGGGAGAAGTGGACAGATCCTGAATATATTTTGAAGGTAGAGCCAACAGGATGGATTGGGTGTGAAATATCAGAGAACAAAGGGAGTCACAAATCACTCCTTGGCTTTTGGCCTGAGCACCAGAAGAATGGAGCTATTTTCAACTGAGATTGAGAAGTCTTTGGATGGGTTAGGGGTTTTTGTTTCTGCTTTTTTTTGCGGGGGGGGGGGGGGGGGGGGGGAAGAGGGGTGCAGTGGATAAGGGGAGAAGTGGAAACCAGGAATTCAGTTTTAGAAATGTTGACTTCAGATATCGATTAGACATCCACATGGTGACATTAGGAAGGCAGCTGGAAATACAATTGTGGATTTGGAAGAGATATTTGGGATAGAGATATAAAATGGTGTTGGCAATAGATGGCATCTAAAGTCTGGAGATAGATGACATTTCCAAAAAAGTGAATGCAGTTAGAGAGGAGAAGACCGAAGACTGGGACTAAAGCCCTGTGGATCTCAACATAAAGAGTTTGGGGAAAAGAAAGAACAGCAAAGGAACCAAAGAAGGGTAACCAAGACAGTATGGGATCCTGAATGCCAAGAGAATAAAGTATGTCAAGGATGAGGGGGTGGTCACCTGTGTCCAATGAGTGACAAGGTACTAAGGACTGACTGCTGGATTTATCAACATAGAAAGTCATCGGTTTCCTCACAATTTCACTGTTAGGGGTAAAAACCTAATTGGACTGGGTTTAAGAGAGAATGAGTAGAGAGGAATTAGAAATAGCCAAGATAGACAACTCTTTTGAGGAGTTTTTCTGCTAACGGGAAGAAAGAAATGGGACAATAGCTGGTAGGGAAATTGGGAGAACAGAAGAGTAGTTTGTTTATCTGAAGAGAAGTGAAATAATATGTTTTGTATGCTGGGGATGATTGAGGACAAAGAAAAGCTGGCGATATATCAGAGGACAGAACTGCTGAATTAAGTCCTTATAGAGGCAAGAAAAATGGCCTCTATGCACAAGTGGAGGTAAGACTTCAAGACTGGAACAGGGATAGCTTATCTACGGTAACAGGAGGGAAGGTTGAGCGTGTGGTGCAGATACTTGCAAGTGGGTAGTTGTGGTGTGACATGCAGAGCACGATCCTTTAAGTGGGGGAAATGTGTCCACAGGATATCACACAAGTGATTATAGGTTTATCAGAAGAATGAAAGCAGTGCTCCCAGGAAACAAATGTGGGCAAACTGTTTCTGGAGACATGAGTGAAAAGGGGGCTCAAGGAATGCTGACGAATGTTAGGCATCTAAAACAAGTGGCAGTGAGTGGGGAGATTTTCCAGGCAAATTAACAGCAGAAACATAGAGTTCTATCAGGCAAAAGCAAGTTGGCCAGTTGGCAGAAGTACAAGGTCTCCTTCCTCCTTTACCTTTTTATGAAAAGGTAGCTGGGCCTCAGGTGGTCAAAGAGCAACCTGAAACAGTGCTTTTTTGGGGGGCAGGGAGGACAGTGAACTGATTTTACGTGGTTTAAAGTACAGAAAACCAAAGGCTGGGAGTGCAATTAGGTATCTCTGATAAGGGACCAGGAGGTCTGAGCTGAGGCAACGCCTAAATAATGGAGGGGACAGAGCGGTTGGAGAGATGGATTGAAGAAAAGTGCCCACACATCAGAGGCTTAGATGAAAAAGGAGCAGGCAGGGTAAAGTCACAGAGGAAAGTTTAGAGCCTTGGTGATGAGATCTTTACCAGAAACAGAAGTGATGAGGGTTTTTCAGGAGAGGATGGTGAGTCTGGTTTGGGACCAGCTGAGTTTGAAGTGGAAGCAGGGCCTTGAGGTGGGTAGCTAAAGGGGAATGCTCAGTGGGAAGCTCAAGAGAAGACCTGCCTATACTTAGATCCTTCCATGCAGAATCATCTATGAAGAGGAGGGAGAAGGATCAACCAGGTCAGGGAGGAGGACACCATTGGTGGAGGGGTGTGGAGTCCAGAGCACAGGACAGGACCTTTGAGGAGTTCAAGGGAATATAGTTTTTTCATTTCTTGAGTACCAGGTAAGATAAAAGATGCCTCTGGGATCTGCTAATACAGGGACAGTAATTGAGGGATGACCCCAGCTGTCATGCTCTGAAATCATCCTGTGTTTGCACCAAGGCCATGATGTCCCTGGCTGCTCCCAATGGCTGAGCACAGTAGAGATACTGGGGCAGACTTCTTTAGGGACTCTCTTTTGGCCTTGCTGAAACTTTCTAAAGAGTACACTGCAGTCTAACACATTTCTCCCTCACTTCCTTCCTCCTTTCCCTCCTTCTCTTTCTCCTCTCCTGTGCCTTTTCCCCTCCTTCCTTCTCCCCTTCCCTTTTCTTCACAGGGGTCAGAGTTGTGTTGTGGTCTGACAGCTGTCTCAGTCTCTTCTGGCGCTCTCCCCATTTTCCCTCACAGGCAGTCCCTCCAATAAATCTCTTGCATGTCTAATCCTGTCTTGGCATCTGCTTCTTGGAGGACCCAGACTAACACAGGACTTTAATCAGACCAAGAGCAGGAATTTCTCTTAATATTTCTTTGGCACTTCTCAGTGCCTGACAGTGAGCGAGGCCAAGAGTTGCCTTAGGGATTAGAAAATTGTATATGTAGACGGGAATGCAAGCTGGTGCAGCCACTCTGGAAAACAGTATGGAGGTTCCTCAAAAAACTAAAAATAGAACTACCCTACAACCCAGCAATGTCACTACTAGTCATTTATCCAAGGGATACAGGTGTGCTGTTTTGAAGGGACACATGCACCCCCATGTTTATAGCAGCACTATCAACAATAGCCAAAGTATGGAAAGAGCCCAAATATCCATCGATGGATGAATGTATAAAGAAGACGTGGTATATATATACACTGGAGTATTATTTGGCAATCAAAAAAAATGAAATCTTGCCATTTGCAACTATGTGGATGTAACTGGAGGGTATTATGCTAAGTGAAATTAGTCAGTCAGAGAAAGACAATAATCATATGACTTACATCATAAGACAACTTTAAGAGACCAAACTCATGAACATAAGGGAAGGGAAACAAAAATAATATAAAAACACGGAGGGGGACAAAACTGAAGAGACTCATAAATATGGAGAACAAACTGAGGGTTAATGGAGGGGTTGTGGGAGGGGGGATGGGCTAAATGGGTAAGGGGCACTAAGGAATCTACTCCTGAAATCATTGTTGCACTATATGCTAACTAATTTGGATTTAAATTAAAAAAAGAAAAAAAAAAAGATCAGTGGAAGGGTAAACTTTAAAAGATAGTAATTTTTATGGGAAAAAATTTGAAATCGTTTTGAATTCCTCAACTTCCTGTAATTAAAGACTAGTAAAAATTGGATCCAAATCTTAGGAGCTTAATCTTCCTAAGGAGAGTCTCTCTCCTTCTTGAACTTGTCTTTGGCACCATCGTAGTAGTTATAAAACATATTTCTGGGAAAACATTACTCCTTGTATACATGTAACTGTTTGCATCTTTGTACCTACCTTTCAGATAGGGCAGTAAAGTGATGTGCCTTTGTGCAAAAAAAAAAAAAAAAAGAAAAGAAAAAAAGAAAAATTGTATATATGTAGAATGACTTAGGGGTGGGGTGGGGGCAGGGGGGAAGGACAGTCCCAGCAGGTGTGTGACCCCTCACACTAACTCACTGTGTGACCTTGGCCAAGTCATTTAGCCTCTCAGCCCTAATTTTCTCACTATAAAATGAGTGGTTAGACTCAAAGATCTCTATAGTCCCCTCTTCTGTTGACATTTGGAATAAAGTCTGTCTCATTGATGTTAAGAATTATGTTAGAAAGTTGGACAGGTAAAGAGTCTAGAAACTTAGACAAAGGAGAAGAATAGCATTCCAAAGGAAAAAAGTAGGGAAAGAGTTGTGCATGAACTCAACACTTTATAAGATCCCTCACCCCCACCCTGTTTTATTTTTTGTGTTTTCAGATTTGAAAGCACTTGGTGGAAATCATGAACTTACTGCCAATTGTGAAATAGGAGTAGATCTGTGTACAGCCAGTTGAAGGCTCTTGAATTTCACTTACCTGCATTGTCTCTGAAAGGTAAAAGGGAATAGAGCAGGTGCATTCTTTGTCAAAATTAATAGCATCTTCTCGCAGTTCTGCACAATTTGCACATATTTTTGTGTATTTAATCTATCAGACAGGGAAAAGAACAATTATTAATTGAAAAGTTACATGAGTACATTTCTTAAAAATCAAGTCCTGAGTCCACCACCTAAGCCTTCAAGCTCTCTGGGTCAAGGGCATGGATGCTGGGACATGACTGAAAAACAACCTACAGTAGGGGACAAAAGTGTTTCTGCAGATGCTTGGGAAGAGTGGGCCCTTTTACAGTCTTTCACTTTGGGACCTGGCAGCATTTTGCCACTGACCTGGAATTCAGTGTTTCTACTGCATACTTATGTAACCAGTTGTGATAAAGGCTCATGTCTTGATCATAAAGAGGTGTCATTAGGAAAATATTCGTCAATGACTCACAAGAACTGGGCCTACAGCTTGAGGCTAATCAGCTTTATGGGGAAGTCACTTCACTGTGTTTCCATTCTATTGTATGGAAAATATTTATACTAATGAATTTTTCTACATGACATCTAGAGGAAGTTCTTAAAAAGGACCAAAAACAGAAAAAGAAATGCTTCCAAAATGCAGGGTTATTTATATACGTGGAATAATTCTGCTTTAAGTGTTATCACATTCTGTTTTTTAAAAATCAAATTCTGTGAAAAATGGTATAGTGGACTCTTTAAAAAAGGGCGGTGTGTTTCAAATGAACAAATCCTATGAGCTTTGGCTGAGAGCCTCAGTTATGTAAAGATACAGCTGGAAGAAGCCTAAGGAAGGAAGGCTCACAGAGAGGCCACTGAGGCTGTGCATTTCCCTTCTGTTTCTTCCTCATTGTGTTGAAGAATAATTGGAAGATTATGGGAATGGGGAAGAGCAAGCAAGCAAGGGAGTGGCCTTCTCCTTGGTAAACTGCCAATGGGATTTACGATTCTTTGGGAGGGAAGACCAACAAGAAATACTGGATTTTTTAATCCTTGCAAACCACTGGAGTTTTGAAGCCAAAACTAAATTAAAAATTAGCCAAAAAGCTACTTAATTGTACCTAGATGCTTATATTTACTTAAATCTTTAATTAATTATTAAATCATTCTTTAAATACACAGGAAGGCTTGAACTATTATTTCGGAAAATATTGATGCCCTTTCTGTTTGTGAAACTGCATTCTGATTTTTAAAAAGCTTTAAAGAGCAGGGCTCTCTCAGAACTGACAGCACACTAAACTGTGACTGAGGAAACTGGGGTTCAGTTCAGCCAATATCTGACCTTGAGTTAAATACTTAACCTCCAGGGCCCACACTTTGTTCATTAGCATTATTTTATCTATCAATTAATCTGTGACCCTGTTGTAGTAGTATACATTTTGCTCCCTGCATTCTTGAGCCCTATTAATGCAGAATTAGAAAAAAAATGGTGATCTTTGAGTAGATGATATCTAAGGTGCTTTCTAGCTCTAAAAACTTTTTGAGGTAGCCAAACCAAGGAAGCAGCCTAAATGTCCATCACAACTGATGAATGGATAAAGAAGATGTGGTATATATACAATATAGCCATAAAAGAGAATGAAACCTTGCCATTTGCTACAATGTGGATGGAGCTAGGGAGCATAATGCTAATAAGAGAGATAAGTCAGTCAGAGAAAGACAAAACCTATATGATTTCACTTATATGTGGAATTTAAGAAACAAATGAGCAGAGGAATAAGAGAGAGAGAAACAAACCAAGAAACAGACTTTTAACGATAGAGAACAATCTGATGGTTACCGGAGGGTAAGTCGGGGGCGGGGGGAGAGTGAAATAGGTGATTAAAGAATACACTTATCATGATGAAAAAAATAATAAGATAAATAAAAAAAAATATGAGGAAAACATATCTCTGACCTACTGTCTCAAATGGCCTTATAAATCTATAACTCTAAAATGACAGCAAAGACCACAGTCTGCTCCTTATATAATTTTGGAGAGGCAGGAATGATCATTCTTGCTTAAAGTGAATTGGAAAAAGGTCACTTCCTTGTTGTCGCACAGGGCTAAGTGAGAAGAGGAAAGCCACTCAGAACTCTTCCACTGGGTCTGTACTTGATCACATTGGCCTGGGATATGTACTCCATCTTCTCACCCAATATAATGAAATACATCCATGTGCAAAAGAGGATCTCACTGTCACAGCAGTTTCTGGTTTTCTTGTATAAAGAAAAAAAATGTTAGAAATAGTCCTATCTGAAGTGACTTTTAAAAAAAGTCAATTGGAAAATCTCCATAACATGATAAAAATCATTCTGTTGAAAGTTGTTTGCGGAATGGCTTTAGTGAACCATGCGGTGAGGTTCCCTTCACATGCATAGGGTGACAGCATTTAGCAATGGTGGCCTCTTAATGGAGGCTGCACTTCATAGTGGGTTGGGGTGGATAACCAGAAAGGAAGCAAGGAGGACATTGGAAAAGCAGAAGAACCAGAAAGGGGCTGGTGAAGAAGAAAATAGAAAATTAAGTAGGATGAGCTGTCTGTGGAAATAAGTATCATTAACCTTGTAAGCCAGTTACTTTGCCTTCCACAAGGCAAGTATAATTTTCTCTTGCCATTTTGCATCTGCCCCTGGTGAGGCCTGGTGGTTTACATCTTACACCAGAGAACTCAAAAGGACTTAATGGTATTTAGTTCCTGGGGAGATAAATTGCTGGGAGCAGAAAATAGAAGTGGAAAGGCATTAGAACAGTGTGGTTTGGAAGGAAGACTGGGGCCTGAAACGGTGTTTTCCTCTTTGAAGTCCTCACCATTTGCCCTAATCCATTCCTTCAAGAGTTTGTGCCTATTATGTACTGACAGTGTGCAAGGAAGGGGCTGTGGTTGTGCTGAACAAGGCAACCATGGCTGAGCTCTCTGTTCTTCACACACACTACCTTACCTGCTCTACCATTAGCTCATTGAGGGCAGGTATCAACTTACTTATCTTTACTCATTTGCAAACCCAGCAGAACTCTTAGCACCTTCAGACACTCATAAATGTTAAGTCAATGTTGACAGACTTGGCCTTCATACTTTTGTTGTTAGCCATTATCAGGAGAGGGAATAGATCAGCTTTCCAAGGCTGCCTTCAGAGTGGAGGTCATAGCCTGGAGATGTCTGGTAATCTGCTCAAAGCGGATTTGAATGAAACATTTGCTTACTTTGTTAGACTGAACTGAATGTGGGCATGGCTGATCTAACCGACCAACTCTTATGTCCCCTCCTCAGACCAGCTTCTCAGATTCTCATCCTCCAACAGTTTGTTAATCACATTGACAAAGGCTTGCCATGGGGCGGGGGGTGGTGTGCCCTTAGTTTCAATTTTTCTCAATCTTGAGTAGAATTTGGTTAATTTTTCTAGGTATCCTTAGGAGGCCAGAAAGATTTGGGTTCTTGCCTTTCCTAAATTAATGATCTCAGAGGGAGTTCACTTGCAAAGGGAAAGACACAATGCTTGAAAGGGGGACAAAATTGAAGACTTCTATCTCTGTCTCTTCATTTTTTTATCAGCGTGACTCATGGGCATCTGGCAGTCATGTGGCCCTGCCTCTCCTTCTCCTACCTCTATGAATCCTTGGTCAGCACTCTGCCAGCTGAAAAAGCTTCTGCTTTGCCAGGTGCCTGTAAACAAATGGCTGAGATGACCAATGTGAGAGTAACTGTCCTCAAGAGGGAGTAGGAATGAATAAAGCCAACATACAGACGCTGCCATCATCTGCACCAGCTGAGAAAGGGATGTTCCAGTGTCCTCTATTTCCAGTCTCATCTATTGAGGGGCTCTGTTCTCATACTGATTGCTCACTCATTTATAGTTCTAAAGCTGAAAATTCTTAGAACCTGCCTTAAAAATGTAATGCTTTAAAAATGTAATGCCTTAAAATTGTAAGACGGGACAAACCTCTATTTCCTTGATACTCTTTGCAGACAATATAAGGATGATGCCCACACCAAGGCAGAATGCTCCTGTGGCAAAAAAGCCAGAGAGGACTCCAGTGGCCGAGAGCTGTAACCGGTAGGCGGGCAATTGCTGCTGCTTCAAGGCAGTGTTGTCTGGCAGTTTGGATTGGCAGATCTGGGATGTCTTCTTCATTTTGGTCCTGCAGGTGATGGGGTTGTACTTTTGAGACATTTATAACATTGCTACTCGTAGTAATACTGCATAATGATAATACTAAGTTAAGAATTATATGAACCTTCCTCTGTAGTTGCTGTCTTTCTTCTTCCCAGAATTATTCAACTGAACCTGATATTCAGCAGGAACACGGCTCTCTTCAATCAGCCATTGCTAGGTATATTTTACTTTAGGCTCAAAACAAAACAAAAACAAAAACAAAACAATCCACCCCCTCCCCCCCAACAACTTGTGCTAAATGCCATGGCTAAAAGGAATAGTCCCCAGCAGGGGACTAAACCAACATCTGGTGACCTTGGGAAGCAGTTATAACAGGCTATTTCTGGTATGTGGTGACTAATTCAGGGCAAGCCCTTCCTGAAAGGGGGAAAATGGATTTATCTTTAAGAACTTGCCTAAAGTCTTGGAGATTAATACAAAAAATAATAGGGCTATCAGGTTTTTTACAAACATGGCTGCCTCTCACATAAATATAAACTAAGTTGGAAAAATGCTCTCAAATTACAGCTAGCTTTGCTATTTGTGATAATGATGAAGAGGGAAGGAAACAGGGATTGTGGAACACAGATGTCTAATCTCAATAACTGCCAATTTTTTCATCCATAAGAAAGACTCAGGTAGAAAACGTACATAAAAGCATCTAAACTTCTCCCAAGCATGTGCTTTGGAGTAGCTCAAATGAGGCAAGAGAAAGGGAGAGGAACATAGATAATTGGTTAAATGTTCAATATTGCCATACAGTAGAATTGGTTTGGTTTGGGGTTTTTCTCATTTATCAGAAATCTCCTAACATCATTTTTATTAGGCTGTTAATAATTACTTCCTCTTCTTTAAGATGTATTTAAGATACAGAATTAGAATTAAAAAAAATGAGTTTCTAAGCTTCCTTTTTAAATTAGCATTAGGCAGAGAAGCCATGCTGGACTATTTTTATATTAAAGAAAGCAACAACTTTGGCAGGTGTAGCTAGTTGAAAAGAATACAAAATAAATGCAAATGCTTACACTAGGCGTGTAAAAGTCAGAGTCAAAGCTTCCCACTTGCAAACTGGGAAAAGCATAATACCAGTGGGAACTTCTCAGCAAGTCACTTGAATCTGACTTGGAGATGGTGAAGAATATGGCTGCCAGTATCAGCCTTGTGTGAGAAGATGGCAGCAAACACTTAACTAATTCATATCTACCATTTATTTCACTAAGTAAACATGGTCAAGAACTTGGGTTTAAAAGGCAGTAACAGCCTACAAGATTAGATTATATGCGCATGGTTGGCGTAGAAAATAATCAGGTCTGTCTGCCATCTACGTACTTGGTCCAACATTGGGTGGGATTATACTACACAGATAACACCTAGCAAACGGGTCATCACAGTATCAAATCTGTAAGAACAGAATTTTTTAGACTTTTTATAAAATAACAAAACCAAACTAACCAAAACCCCAAACCAAAAAACCTTTACATTAGTATATAGTCAGGGCTCTCCAGAGAAACAGAATTAATCAGAGGTATATAAAGAGATTTTGTTATAAGGAATTGGCTCACATGTTATGGAGGAGGCTGGCAAACCTGAACTCTGTAGAACTGATGTCTCGGGTTGAGTCTGAAGGCCAAAAGGTGGTGTAGAACCAGGTGCTGAGGTCCCAGTTTGAAGGCTATCTAGCAGGAATAGCGGATGTTTCAGTTGGAATCAGAATTCTCTCTTCTTGGAGGTGGGGGTGGTTTGTGGGGGTGTGTGGGAGGTGGACAGGTCTATTTAGGCTTTCAACTGACAGGATGAGGCCCACCTACAGTAAGGAGGGCAATCTGCTTTACTCAAGCCCACTCATTTAAATGTTAATCTCTTCCAAAAACACCCTCACAGAAACACTCAGAATAATATTTGATCAACTGTTTGGGCACCCTATGGCCCAGTCAAGTTGACACATAACATTAACCATCACAGTAGTAAGTGAACACATATCTGGGACAATGTTCTTGAAATAGCCAGATCTTACCTTATGGGAACTTTTTAAAAAAAATTAATTTATTTAAATTCAAGTTAAGTAGCATACAATGTAGTATTGGTTTCAGGAGTAGAACCCAGTGATTCATCTACAGGCACTTTTATATTTACATATTTTTCTTCTAAATAAACCTACTCCAAGCATACAAATATACTTCATATACTCTGCTTTTCAAATTTCTAGAACTGGGTTCCTTAACGTCAGTAACTTCCTTAACTGATTAGTATTTTGGGCCAGATATTTCTTTATTGTGGGGCTGTCCTGTAGGATGGTAGAATGTTGAGCAGTATCCTTGGCTTGTACCTGCTTAATGCCAGTCATAACTCCCCCACTATATGCTAGAAGTTTCCCCCCAGTTGTGACATCCAAACATGTCTCCAGACAGTGCAAATGGCCCTGGCTGAGACACACATTTCTAGATTGATATGGATATGACAATTTGTTAGCAGCTGTTATACTGTGGTATCATCAGACATTTCAGACAGTGATTTTTTTTTAAGCCCTTGCTTTCAGTTCTCTTTAACTGCTACGCAGATAGCTTCCCCAGGCATTACAGACATTTTCTGTAAATCCGAAATTATTTTAAAATAAAAAGTTAAAAAATAATTAAGACAATTGTAGTTACACTGTTGTCTCTCATACGTTTGCAAAGTGCCACAAAAACACTTCCAGCTCTTTCAACCACTACTGTGGCCACACTTCACATTGAGACCAGGCTTTAGTTTAGAAATCTGTTCCATGAGTACCATCACATGGAATCCTCAACAGTCCTCAGAGACATCATTCCCATTTTGAGGCTGATGAAACTGAGGCTCACAGAGGGAAGGGGCTTGTCTAAGGTTTGCCCAACTGCTCTTTCCCTGCTCCTGCACAGTAACATCAGAGCCCAGTGGGTGGAAAAAAAACTCAGTCTGCTCAAAAAAAAAAAAAAAAAAAAAAAAAAATCACACACAAGCTGGTGATACTTTATTATACAGAGAGGTTGGCAAAGGACAGCTTCAGTTTTGTCAAAGAATCTCCATCAAAAATTTCTAGTGATTCATCTGGTGATGCAGTTAACATAATAAAACAATAGCTGATATTTACTGAGTGCTTGCAATATTCCAGAGCTATTAAACGAGATGCAAATCCCATAAAAACTGGAATTTTCATAGGACCCAGACTTAGAAAAGGCCCAGCTTCAAAGATTCTGACTTGCACAGACTGAGGACTCCCATTTCCAGAAGTTCAAAAACCTCCTTTCTTATCTAAAAGAGAAACAAGAGGGGGAAAAAGAGGTTAAGATCAAGAAAAGATAGTCTTGGTGAATAAATTCAACCATCTGGACGTCCTGGTATTTAGATAGCTGTTATGGAGGGCAAAAATCCTAACCTGTGTTTTATTCAGAGTTGAAATATTTACTTAAGTAAAGGAAGAGATACTATATAAAACATCAGTTTCATTAAAGTGCCCTTTTGTTACCATTCAAAATAAAATCTCATTTAAAAAATCTTATACAAAGATGTTTCAAGGTACCCAAAGTATGCCTAGATTACACACATATTTCAATATAGGATAACTGACAAGAATGACATCAACATAATAAAAATAACTATGGATAAAAAGGTGGTTTTTTGACACAATTTCTTATAATTAGAAAACTCATGGTGGATTACTCAGATTTAATATTATAACTGAAATAATTAAATATGGCCTCATGTGCCTAACATCAAATTTGTTAAACTGGTTTTAAAAAAACCCAGTCAGTTCAGGGGACAGGATGTGTGTGTGTATAGGAAACTGAGAAAGTTGTCTTTTAACCTGTACTGATATCTGATATAACTCACTGATTAATCATAATCAGGTTTGGTCATTCTGGGGATATATATAGTTTTATGTGGTAAATTAATTCATTCAGCACATTTGGAGAATTAATTTCAAATTCTTTTATAGTTACTGCCATGATGGTTGGTGACTGGCAGTCATGTTAATTATTGCACAAACCCTTTTCTCTCCAACAGATACTTCTAAACATCAGGCTAGCTTGAAAAATTAGCTCCATGGTACACAGTAGGTGGAAAATCAATTTTTCATATTTTGATGATACTAGATTACTTTCATAAATATATAATAAGCTAATGCTTATGTGGCCACAAAGGCATTCAACCAGTTTTAATTCACTGAGACAGCAAAATAATTTCCCTACCCCAAACCAAAATAGCCCTCTATATTAAGTGAGTGAGGTTTTGGGTATGGGAGATGCAGGCCATGAGGCAAGTTTGTGCCCCCGCTCCCTAGCGCATCTGTAAAGATGAAAGACAAAGATGACTATGTCTCTAAAGCAAGGCACACAAAAATATGCCAAGTCCTCCAGAGCTTCCTGTTTCTCAAAGGTATAGTACAGATGTGGTCCCCAGTGGGGCAGAAGCCATTGGTCATTTAATGAAGAAACAAAGCTGATTCCTACAAAAGATATGGAAAGGATACAGTTAGGTCTAAGGGGTGAGATGGACTTTATAACTGCAGTTACTTCAGAGTTAAAAGACAGAAAGAATTTCAATGGCCAGAATTTTTGGCTCCCGATGTCAATGACTTTATTACTGTGTTTGAACTTAAGCTCAAGCTGAAGAAAAAAAGATTACAGGCTGGTTACACGGTACCTCGGGAATGTCCATCATCCTCCTCAACTTCTGATCTCTCCAGTTCCAGTCAAAAACCAGAAATTTTAAGGGGTTCAAATTAAGGCCACCTGAAAGAGACAGAGAGAGAGAGAGTTGCTACAGCAAAACCTTATGATAGAAGCTTATCCAAATGACTTTTTAGTCTCCAGGTTGCTTTTTGCCTCATTTGCTGTCCTCTCCCCCAGCAACTAATCTCTGCACACTAAGTGCAGCCCTTGCCTGATGGAAAACAAATGCAGAACTCGGAGATTGCTTTCCTTATAATCTTATCACTGATTCTGAGGGAAGCAGAGAAGCTGCTAAGCTCGTCAACTGCTCAAATCCTGGCAGAGAATCAATCCCAAGACTCTGTTTCATGAAGCCCCAGAGGGTGAAGTCTCATTCCTGACAAGAATTTGATAAGATGGATCCTGCAATCTAGGTGTGGCCTTTCAGAGGAATTGAATCCAATGGAGTCTGAATGACTCTGAGAAGGTGAATGGACAGAAGGATGAGGCTGGTGTTTGAGGTTTAATTTTAGGCAGAAAAGGAGGTAAATATGAATGGGTTCTATTCAAAGTGTGCTACCCTTTGAGAAGACTAGCAAACCACTTAAGGACTCCATTTCTGTCTTCCTATCTATCTAGAGACAATTATGGAATGTGGGGCTGGAGGGGACTTCAGCTATTGCCTGTTCCTCAGAGGTCTCAGAGTTGGTCACAGTTAGTTTTTCCCACTACCCCAAGCTGTTTCATGTGACATGTGGAAACATAACTGAAGCCTTCCTCTGCAGTGCTTCCCCTCAACTCTTCTCTGTGATTATTTCAGTATTTCCCCTCTGTCCAAAAGACTTTTTCATTCTTCTTATAATTATAATGACTCCTATTTAAATTTCCCTCTGCAAAATTAAAAATGATAAATTGAGAAGGACAATGGGTTGGTAGTCTACCCTTAAAAATAACTTACTGTTGGTGGGAGAGCAAACAGATAGTCTCTCAGGAAGGCACTAGAGCATTATATAATAGAAGCTTAAAATGCTTACTATTTGATAAAATAATTTTCTTTCTATGACATATCACTAAAAAAAACATCAGAAACTTAAATATAGTTAATGGGGCACCAGCATAGCTCTGTTGGTAGAGTATGTAACTCTTGATCTTGGGGTTTTAAGTATGAGCCCCACATTAGGTATAGAGATTACTTAAAAACAAAATCTTTTTTTTTTAAAAAGAAATAAATATAGTTATTTGCAAAGATGATCATTGCAGTATTATTTATAATAGCAAAAATTTAGAAATAATCCATGTATCCTAATTACTAAAAAACAATATAACTTGGGGTTAATATCCAAAATATATAAAGAACTTATGCAAATCAGCAGCAAAAAACACCAATTAATCTGATTTAAAAATGGACAGAGGAAATGAATAGATACTTTTCCAATAAAGACATTCAAATGGCCAATAGGTACATGAAAAAGTGCTCAACATCACTAATCATCAATCATATTATCAAAAACCCCCACAAGACATAATAAGTGCTGGTGAGGATGTGGAGAAAAGGGACCTATTGTGCACTGTTGGTGGGAATGTAAATTGATACAGTCACTATGGAAAACAGCATGGAAGGACACTCAAGAAATTGAAAATAAAACTACCATATGATCCAGCAATTCTACTTCTGGGTATATATCCAAAAGAAACGAACTCACTATCTCAAAAAGGTATCTGCACCACTATGTTTATTGCAGCGTTATTTACAATAGCCAAGACATGGAAACAACCCGTAGTATTCATCAACGAATGAATAAAGAAAATTCACACACACACACACACACACACACACACACACACACAGGGGAATATTATTCATCCATAAAAAGGAAGGAAATCCTGTCATTTATGACAACAGGAATGGACCTTGGGGGTATTATGTTAAGTGAAATAAGTCAGACAGAGGAAGACAAATACTGTATGATCTCACTTATATGTCAAATCTAAAAAACCTAACTCATACAGAACACATTGGTGGATGCCAAAGGGAGAGGGTGGGGAAAATGGATGAAGATGGTCAAAAGGTAAAAACTTCCAGTTGTAAAGTAAATAAGGTCTGGGGATGTAACGTACAGCACAGTGACTGTAGTTAATACTGTACTGTATATTTGAAAGGTGCTAAGACAGTAGATCTTAAGAGTTCTCATCACAAGAAAAAAATTTATAATTATTTGAGGTGATTGATGTTAACTAAATTTATTGTAGTAATCATTTTGCTATATATGTATAAAGTCATTCCATTGTACACACTGGACTAATACAATGTTATAGGTTAATCATATCTCGATAAAACTGTAAAAACAAGTAGAATATTATGTACATATTATACAGCCATTAAAAATTAAAAATTAAAGGGGCACCTGGGGGGCTCAGTTGGTTGAGCGTCCAACTTCAGCTCAGGTCATGATCTCACAGCTCGTGAGTTTGAGCCCTGTGTCGGGCTCTGTGCTGACAGCTCAGAGCCTGCAGCCTGCTTCAGATTCTGTGTCTCCCTCTCTCTCTCTGCCCCTCTCCTACTCTCTGTGTTTCTATCTCAAAAACAAATAAAAACATTAAAAAATTAAAAATTAAGACTATTTCATAATGAGCAAAGTCCTCATAAGATATGCTAAGTGGAAAAGGCAAGTTATAAAATTATGATATATAGCATGATCTCCACTTACAAAAATAAGTATATAAATGCATAGAAAAAAGACTAAAGGAAATATATTCAGTATTATCTAACAAGTGATTTTCTCTAAAGTGATATATTTTCTTTTCTGTGCTTTTTTGCATTTTTGAAAGGCTCTTATAGTCAGAAAATCTGCTTCATTATTAGATTAAAACAATATACTTCTGTCTATAATTGTACAGATTCCATGCCATGGGATATCTTTCGAAGTCTGGAAACTTTCCTTAATATATTCTACATACAAACATCTTAAGTCATAAACAGCTACATAAAACGAGTTATGTGCCATTGCTTTGTTACATTTCCAGTTTCTAGAGGGCTGGGATTGGTCTCTTTAAATGCTTTGTATGTAGCCTAACACCTGTGGTTAATGAATATTAAATCATGCATCCAATCAGAATCAGAAGTAAAAGTTATTTTCATTAGTATTATAAAAAATCAATAGATCCTTAAGTGATTTTTTCACCCCTTAAATGAAATAAGCTTTCACACTGAGTCCTCACTACTCTCCAGAAATCAAATCTCAACAATCTGTATGTAGAGTTTCGTTTTCTCTTTCTCCCTCTCTCTCTCTCTTTTAAATATGGAGAAGAGTGGCCCTATTGCATGGGGTTCCTGGTGACATACAGACAACCATCTGGATTCGAGGTGGGGGAGTGAGGTGAATCTTTGGCTAAGAGCTGTGCGAGAGGCAGGGTCCATCCCTGGACCCTCCTGCTGCCCAACCAATCTCTCCCAACTGTCTCACAGGTAGGCTATGAGTGCCTCTCATCTGTTCCTTCACTACAATGCCCTCCTATGTCCACAAGACAAAAATCCAAACTCTTCAACCTAGTGTTCAAAGTCCTCCCTCCACAATCTGACTTCCTTTCGAGTTCAATCACCAGCTACTAAAGCCCACAAAGTTTCCAACCAAGAAAGTTATTCTCTTTAATGAAAATAATAACTAGCATTTATTGAGTCCTTAGGGTGTGAAATTCTTTATTGGCACTTTGTTATCATATCAATCCCAGGAGGAAGATACTATCACTATCCCTCATCTGAATACAGAAAAAGATTTAGAGAGGTTAAGTAACTTGCCAAGGTCACAGAGCTGGTCAGTTGCTGGATCTGGGATTTGACTCTGAAGGTCTGAATCCATGAGAGCTTAACACTGTATCTCAGTCATGTGTATCTGCCTGCCCTCTTCTGATTCAGTGATTCTCCTATTCCTGTTTTTCTCACATTTCCATACTTCAAAGATCCTATTTTAATCCTCCTTATACTTCAAAGATCAGTTAAAGACCCTTTTCTCTGTAAAGCCTTCCATACAGATTCAGCCTCCATAATAATCTATTTCCACTCTTATAGGACTTGGAGGTGCTCATTTGGCCCTTGGCATTTAGTGCCTCATTTTGTCAATCTCATTCTATGTATATTTATCTTTTCAAGGATCAGGAGCTCTTTGAGGGGGAAAGCCTCTAGAGCTAGGAACGCCTAGACTAAGAGACTGTGGGACAGCCACTTAATCCTTCAGAGCTTCAGAGTTTTCTCTTCTATGAAAAAAAAAAAAGCTAGCGTGCAAGGGTGCCATGAATATTTACTGAGATACATAGGAGTGTGTGGCATGGCACCAGTGCAAGTAGGAACTCAAAAACTGTGCTTCCCTTCCTTGTCTGGGGTTGCCAAGTCTGTCACTTCTTTGTAATTGCACAGACCTTTGTACATAGTGGGTTCATTTAACCCTGGATGATTTTCATCTGGAAAGAAACACTCGTATTTTAAGCTTTTGTTTGCTTCTTGGCAAATGACCATCTCTATATTAGTTATTACATTGATGAACATATTACTTTTAGATATATTAAAAAATCTAGGAATAGTTCCAATTGTAACAGAGTTCTATTAGTATATTAAATAAGTAATTTGGAAGTGAGTATTGAAAAGAAATCTTTAATCAGTCTGGCAGGTAAAACAGGTAATAAGATCATCAGCAGATTAACAAGTTTTAGGCTACTGACTTTGAGAGAGCCAACAAATTATAAAAACCCAGCGGTGGATGTTGTCTGGAATACTTTCTGGGTAAAATACTAAAAGAGAAATGAATTTGGGAGAAACACTCTGGAATACCTGTATTTCATCCATAGAAACCTCATTTTAGTTTCAACATGTTTTATATATAAGCCCTCAACTGAAATGGAAGTCTTGGGGAACCAAGATTCAATTAATTAAGAGAGAAATAATCAACTCACCTAGCTCTACAAATTCTAGAGGTTGCAAACTAGTGGAAATGAATTGTGGATCCACTAACCTGCTTAAAGCAAGTGGAATCTGAATGTGTGTAGGTGGGCACATGTACTGAAGTTTGCCACAATCCTTACCATTCCCTACTGCTTCACACCTGCCTGCTAGCTCTACCAACACAAAGCTAAGTTTCCAACTCCCCAATCAACACAGAAGTCTGGTTTCATTATATCACAAATGTGGTTTCCTAAACTCACATGGGGGGTAAGGTAAACTCCCAGTACTAAGTAGGCATATCAGCGCCTCTTTTCATACCTTGTTTAATGAGTTCTTTAATCCTTCCTGGAGTTCCTACACCCAGGTGCACAACACGCTTCTCCAGCAACTTTACCTGCTCCTGGACCTATTTATTGCAAGACAGAAGAGAGGAAAGAAGAGTCTTTAGAAAGTGCAAATCATAGGCCAATTTAGAGCACTTTATCCAAAAGTTAAGGAAGTAAAAAAGCAAATGGGCTACCCTTGTTTAGGCTCAACATCCAGGGCAATGAAAGTTAAAGTCAAGATAGAAAAGCATTGCCCTATAAAACCGGGGAATCTTCAGAGAATGCAGGGGTCAGATCGCAGCTTCTGTAGAAAAATCTTGGCACACAGAGGAGTTGTGACTGTTGTGGGGGCAGGTGGGCATGCAGAAGCAGGGAATGCAAAGAACACCAGAATAGTTGTTAAATATGTTATATAAGAACAAAGAAAATATCAGCTAAGGAGATAAGAAAAAGCTGGGAGTGGCCTTTAAGGATAACTTACATCGCCCATCAGGAACCACAGGCCCTTGCTTACCTTTATGTGTTTTGCAAATAATTTCATAACTTTGCTGTCTCCTCTGAATGCTGTCATCGACCTAATAAAAAAAAAAAAACACATTATTGCCTAAGAAAACTTACCCATCGCAGGCCACTTTGACTACTAAAGTATTATGTTTTGTTTTATTCAAAAGAATATGGCATTTCTGTGTTTAACTATGAGCACATGCATGTGTGTGTGTGTGTGTGTGTGTGTGTGTACACAAAAAAATTCCGAGATTTTCAAGTCAGCCCCACTCTGGAAGGAAAGTGAGGAAGTTTTTTATTCAGGATGTATCTGGGTTGCTTCTAACTCTCATACACAAGGTTAGCTTTACTTAGGTTTCCTTGATAATTGAAAAATATGGATCTGCCCTTCACTTGTTAATACAGAATGTTTATATTTCAGGTCCCTGGCAGAGAATTTACCTTTAAACTCTGCAGTATAGTTCTCATTCAAAATTTAGTTGCAACAAATATCATAGAACAGTGATCTCAGACTGTGCTCTGTGGAGCCCAAGGGCATCTAACAAAAGGCTGTATGTGGCTGCTGTGGCAGATTGCTGGGAATGAGCTGGCAGGGAGGAGAAGGCTTATCTTTCGATCAGAGCAGCCCCCCCACCTTCTACTTTGCAGAGAGAAACTTTCGGCAAAATTTTACATGTGGAAATGCTTCTGGTATCAACGGGTATAAAAGTATAAAAGAACGATCTTTTAATTGATGTTTGGTAATAGACCTAACAAGGGAATACTGCTCAGCAATATTATTTTCCTTTATATATCATGATTATGTTTTGAAAAATAATATTGACCAGTAGGAATACATGAGTTTGCAAGATAGTGAATTATGCTATACATGTTCTGTTGTGCTTGATTTTTACTCACACATAAGCTTTCTCCATGGCAAGGTTAACGAGGAAGACAGTTTAGGGGACATATTTAATGTTAATTCATGGTCCTCAAGAGAACAGATATTCTTAGAAAAGCTAGAATTATTCACCATTAGTCTTTATGAATAGGGCTTGTTGTGCTAGCTCAGAAATCACTTTTTGCAAATCACCTAACCTTGAAGTATATCATAGTATTACGAACGACACAGAAGAACACAGGATTGGCAAATGAAGTGTGACAACATAGTGCTTTTATGCCCTTCAGAAAAGTATTTATGTGCAGTAAAAGCTCAAATCAATTTGACGGTTTGTTTTTAGGAGGTCATCTCCAGGCCAACGTCTTTTGCCATCAACGTCTGAATCTGAAATGAATTCTGTGGTGGTAGTTTTTAGAACACTGAAAAGTCAGTATGAACTAATATGATTTCAGAACCAGCAAGTACTGCCCCAGAAGCAGGTGGAGTCTTGAAGATCAATTGTGTTTAGAGCAGATATGTCACAAGAAACACTTGTTTTATTGAGAGAGTGTGTGATGCAAGTTAATGTGTGTGTCTTGTGGGGAAAGGAGAATTGGAAGAACTTAAAAACTACTTTTCTAAATTCATAATCAGATTAGTTCATTTAGAAAAATAGATGCTAAATAGCTACTGAGCGTCTACATTTGCACCTCACTTTATTTTTCTCCAGGACTTGGATTTTCCTTTGTTTTACCTCCTGTCAAAGTCTGGTACAGAGCCTGGCCCTGAAAGAGGGCTAGTCCCAGTAAACCCCTTTTAACTCTGATGGCTCTTTTCTGAAAGCTCAATGTTACCACCGATCCAGTGGAAGGAAGCCTTTTTGTTTTTTCTATGAGAATGCAGTAAATGAAAAGGTATGTGAAAGCACTTAGTAAAGCACTGACAAATTATCTTTAAAACATAATTTTTATATATAAATTTTCAGTCCATTTGGAATTTATCTTGGTATGAGAGGCGAGATATGGATCCAAAGTTACTTTTCCAGATGGCTGCGTAGTTGTTCCAACACCATTTATTAAATAATCCATCTTTCCTTACTGATTTGTCACCTTTGCCACACGCTACATTTTCAAATGCATATGGGCCTGTTTCTAAACTTCCAATTATGTTCCACTGGTCTGATTTATCACGCATATGCCAGTTCCATACTGTTTTGATTAGTGAGACTCTGTAATATATATCCATTGGTAATCTGATAGATACTATAGGCATAGTATCCTCTCACTAATATTCTTTATCAGAATTTCCCCAGCTCTTTTTTATTCTGTATTTTCTCTTATGAACTTAGAACTATAGCTTATCTTTAAACTTTGAACTTTAGCTTATCTAGCTAAAAAACCAATTCTATTGCAGTTTCACTGGGAATCTGTGAAATCTGTAGATTAGTCTATGTAACACAGACATCTTTATAACATCAACTCTTCCTATTCAACAATATAGTATACCCTTTTGTCTGTTCCAGATCTTCTGAGTGGCTTGTGTAATATTTTCTTGATATAGATTTTGGTAAGCTTATTCTCTGGTGTTCCATTCTTGTTATTATTTTTTTATTTTATTAAGTTTTTTTTTTGATGTTTACATATTTTTGAGACAGAGAGAGAGAGAGACAGACAGAATATGAGCAGGGGAGGAGGAAAGAGAGAGGGAGACACAGAACCCAAAGCAGGCTCTGGTCTCTGAGCTGTCAGCACAGAGCTCCACACAGCTTGAACTTGTGAATCGTGAGATGATGACCTGAACTGAAGTCAGACGCTTAACCAACTGAGCCACCCAGGCGCCCCTCTTGTTATTATTTTAAATTAGGTCTTTTTTTCCATTATTTCTTCCAACTGGTTATTGCTCGTATTATTTCCTTGCTTTGACTCTTGCCCTCTACAATGCGTGTTCTCCACAAAGCAGCCAAACTGATCCTTTAGAATGATTATTCAGATCATGTGACTCCCCTGCTCAAAATCTTTCGGTAACATTGCGTCCCAGCGCCTTTTGTGCTTCCTGTTCACTCTGTCTGGAATGCTCTTCTTCCAGACATCTGCTTGGCTTTCTCCTTCACTTTGTTCATGTCTCTGCTCAAATGTCATTCTCCTTGGAAAAGCCTCCTGTGACAACACTTTTAAAAGTAGCCCCCCACTCCCTTCTATCCCTTCGCTATGCTTTATTTTGTCTTATATAACTTGACACTACCTGACATTATGATGTATATTTATTTGTTCATTGTTACGTCTCTAGCATACAGAGCATATCAGCTTGACACGTATCAGTTATTCAAAAAAACATTTATGAAATGAATGGGTGAAGCATCCAACCTAATAAGCTCCAGGGCCCGGAGGGCAGAGCTGCAGATGATCAGCATCAGGACCGATTTCTTCTCATTATGATTTTTCCGAAGTTTTACCCACTTAGGGCAGACTGAAAAAAGACCATTAGAAAAATATTACTCTAAATACAACAAAATAGGGCCCCCAAAGTTGCGTATTCTCCAATTATTCTTTGTTAGTATTTAATTAAAGTAAAATATAATGAGTACCATGTAGATTCTGTTATCTGGTTATTCTAGATATTAGATTAAAATGAAAAATCATTAACTTATAACACAAAGCACACAATATGCCAAGTTAGCTAAATATGATTAGCGAAATGTTAAATCTTTATATCTATACTATTTCATTGTCAGCCACAAATAGATGACTACCTAATATGAATAATCTAGCTTATTACTGCCCTCCACAATACATGTTGAAAAGATGAAATTAGATTGTGCAATAGCCATGATCTGAGTTCTGAGCATGTGAACAGAATTTCACAATTTCACAGCTAGAATAGACATCACATGTCCAACTTCCTTCTCTTTCAGATAACAAAATCAAGTCCCAGAGGAATACACAGTGACTTGTCCCAGGTCAAACAGCAGGGGCCTGGTACTAGAATACCAAGTACTAGAATACCAAGTATTCTCTGGATTCCTAGACCAATACTAATATTAATTTATTATAAACCAAAAATGAGACCAAAACCCAAATTCTCAAAGCCAGAGAAAAACAAGAATAAACATAAATAAGCAGAAATTAGTACCAAGATGGACCTTAAGAGAAACCTCTATTTCAAATCCATTTTAGGTAGAAAGTTTTGCTTTTAAAGGTAGTTTTAGAAGTTTTTAAAGAGATGGATCTTGAGCACCTAGGTGGTTCAGTCATTAAGCATCTGACTTTGGCTCAGATCATGATCTCATGGCTAATGAGTTCGAGTCTCACATTGGGTGAGCTCAAGCCCCACTTCAGATAAAACATGAGCCCCACTTCAGGTGGGCCCTGCTTCTCTTTCTCTCTCTGCCCCTCATAGGATTCTCTCTCTCTCTGCCTCCCAGTCATGCCTCTCTCTCTCTCTCTCTCTCTCTTTCTCTCAAAAAGAGAAGTAATGAAGTATTTAATGAAGTAATAACAACTTGGTGAATAACTTAAAAGAAAATCATATTTACTTACTTTCTTTTAGGTATGATGAAAGACTATGAGTCAAATCATTGGCCTTGAGGAAACAGGAGTCTAGAATATGACAGACATGCTTTGTAGAGGATTTTGCCAACACACACATGATCAAAACAGATTAAATGAATAAGGATGTACAACATTAGTGAATGGGGGCTCATTATATATTTTAAAGTGTTGTCCAGTATTTAAAACAACAGCAGCAACAAGAACAAGTAAACTTTAACCTTTAAACTTTATAACCTTTAAGCCATAATTTCTTAGAGTAGTGAAACAGACTAATGAAGTATGTTTATTTTTCAAGTCTATGGAATAAGCAATACACAAAGGTAAAGGGGAAATAGCTAACACATCTATGTAGAGATGCACAAACTCACTAGTCATCATAGAAGTGCCTATTAGTGCAATGATGAAATAATACTTTACACACACATTAGAATGGGAATTCTTAGACGGATAATACCAAGTATTGTCAAGGATGTAGGGTGATAAAACTCTTGTGAAATGTAGGTGGAGGTATAAACTGGTAATAGCTATTCTGGAAAGTACTAAAATTAAGTTGTATACACCCTATGACCCCATGATCACATTCCTGAGTAAATGATGGAAAGAAATTCTTATGCGGTCTATAAAGGGACATACACAAGTGTATTTCTCCTAGCATTGTGATAGCATTTGTGATAGTGGGGAGCACAAGGCAACCCAGGTGTCTGTATCTAAGAAAATGGATGACCAATATGTGGTAGATAAAATCATTGGAATACTATGTAGCATTTAGAAGCAATGAACTTGATGTACATAAAGCCAGATAGGCATATCTCAAAAAAGGTCTCAGTGAGAAAAAAAACAAAATGAGAAGTTCAGCACATCATTTAGATAAATTGTAAAATGAACACACATACAATGACATGACATTTTACAAGCATATATACACATTTAAAAACATGTATTAACACATTAGACTGAATGCTATGGGGAATGTAAAAAGGAGTGTGGATTGGGGAAGAGTGGGAATAATGCATCAAAATACAACACAGCACCACAGTAAAAGACAATATAACACTTAAATAAAATATAGGGGTCTTGCTCAACCAAGGACTATCATGGTCTAGCAATTATGTAGTATTATTAACTCTGTACCTGAGATGTATAAATAAAAAAGGAAAATCATGTTTATCATTTTAATTCTTTCTACAGGAAAAAGGTTTTCGGTAAACACTGAAGAGTGCCAAGGAGTAAACTATTACTTAATTAAATGACATTTATATTGTGACCCAGCATATATAACTCATATTATGTAATTAACTTCAAAGATATTGCTTCCTATACAACCGTATAGCCTTTCATGGTCTTTAAAACTGTAATTTCCCAAGCCTGGATATGATCAGACTCACCCTAAGAGCTTTATAAAAGATATAGATTCCTGGGATGGACTCCTTTTGTTAGTCAGAATTCCTTGGGAGTGGGCTTGGGGATTTGCTTTTTAAGTTCTTGGGTGATTCAGTTGCTGCTAGCCTACAGGCATTTAGCACTGATCTAAACCACACTGCAGCCCTCAGGAAGTCAGCTGAGTTAACTCCAAGAGATTCCTGCCTCGAAACTAATTAAGTGCCCATGTGTATGACATTTGCAATGTACAGTGAACAATATTAATTGAAAAGACATGTTCCTGCCCTACAGACACAAATAACCTCAAATCAAAACCCTTAGACACTCGGCAAACAAATAGGAACAATCCTTTATGATCTATATCCACTTATATTTATGCCCCTGACTGGAGCCTGTTCCAAATAACCCACAGTGTGTCCCTCCTTTTACCTATCGTGGACTTCCTCTCTGTCCTTGGTCGCATAAGTGTACTTACTGGGATCTTTTCCCCTGAACGTTCTTACAATGCCTTATTCACTGTGTCTCAGAATGGCCTAATTTCTTAACTGAAAATAAAAACCTGTTCTTTTTATCTATAAAAGTAATTTTAACATTTTCCTTCCTTCCTAAACCGAGCCATGGCCACACATTCTTGCTTAACTACACAACTGAACTGTAATATAGCAATAATATAATGTAAACTCACTATGCAACTCAAATGACTCTTAAAGGTTTCTTCTGACCTCTGATTCTCTACAATACTAGAAAACTAAGAGTTATGATGTTCCATAAGTATACAGAGTAGCAGTGACCCCACTATCTCACAAATTCTTCTGAAGTTGAAGGTATACTCTAACAAAGAACTATAAGGAAAAAGACCATTGAGGCAAACTTAGTTAAGCTTGGAAAGGAGGCTTTGTTATAACACTTGGTACCTGCGAAACAGCAGTCAGGACGTAGCTCTCCTCAAAAGAACTATACCCAGAGAGAAGTGGTTTCTAACTGCCGTTGGAGCCGTTGGGGTTTTGTGGGTCTAAAACTCCAGATCTCCCTCATGTGGAAATGCACTCCTTAAATTCCCTAAAGCGTATTCCTTTTGGAAAAGAGACAGGGGGCACTCCTGTCTCTAAATTCAATGTGCATTTTGTTTTCAAAAGCACATCACAAAGGAATTATAAAAATTCAGGGCACGGGAAGTTTTTCAGCTTCTTAAGTCTCTAGAAAGCATAAAGTTGTAATGGAAAAGGGAAATCAAGCTACCCTTGACCTTTTCCAATAGCAGTAATTAGATGTCCCTAGTAATCTAAAAATAGCTCATCTGAAACAGTGTCACCCAAACCTTGTGTGATTTTTATAACATCTCTTTTCTTTAATCTCCACCCAAAAGAGTTCCAGGATGTATCAGAAATTTCCAAATTAATTAAAATTAGTTGTTTCAAGAATTCTGCAGTATCTTTAATTTAATTATAAATATTCTAAGGCAGTAGATCTCAAACAACAGTAGAGAATCAACTTGGGTGAGGGGTCAGCTTTGCTAAAAATGCAGAATTTTATCCCTATCTTTAGATAGTTTGCTTGAAAGTCTGGCCTGGAACCCAAAACACTACCATAAACACAAAACTGTAACTAGAAATCTGTGATAAGAACAACAAGAACAAAACTAAAAGCTTACTGAAGCTAAAGTTCTTGTCTATAAAAGATGAGTAAATTAATGTTTCCTATCTATACTTTTAAATATGTGCTTTATCTTTATTTTAATTTAACTTCTATACCCAGTAGGGATTCTTACTCCTTGAAGAATGCTAAAAAAATGCACACTCAACAGTAGCCTTTTGAAAAAAATGCAATTACAAATCTTTCTATTAGATTGAACAAATGCCATTTAGCATCTTAATAAAGGAACCATTCAACAGTTAAAACTATTAGGTTGAGGAAAGGAGTATTAGCATGTGGAAAATACATCAAATTCAATGGCTGAGATGTAGCCATGAACCTTTTTGCTCCTCCTCATCAGGAAAATTGATATCAATAACACTGAGTCTTGCTACATGACTAACCTCAGAACAGTACAGAAAAAAAAAAAAAAAAGAAGGGAAAAAAACCAAACAAGTCTGGCTGTACCTGGTAGGTTTAGTTCCTCTAACTCAATCACTGAGCGATTGCTGCTGTAATAGTCCTTCATCAGCTTCTGTAGGTCTTCAGGAGTCCCTGGTTTTGGCTCTGATTTTGCAAGAACGTCAGTAATCTTCTTCTAAGACATGAGAAGGAAGAAAGAAAAAAAACCCCAGGAAGAGAGATTTTAAAATGGCATTAGCTTAGAATAGGTTGATTCCTCTGGTATTTAAACTGCACATAAATTTTGGTGAAAGCTGAGTATGAATGTGAGTTCTAATAAATACGCTTGAAAAAACTTAATACTTTTTGTATGTAACTACTGCTTTCAAAAATGAATGGGCGATCTAAAAGGCTCCTTGTAGTTCTTGGTCTATGGCTTCCAGGAGAACTGAAATTTCTGTGGGAGTCTCGATAATAGGGCTCTATTATTTTCTATCACAAGTCAAGAAATCTTGTTGCTGTGGAAATTTCTCTTTAATCTTTAGGTGATTTTTATTCCTGGGAGAGAAGAGTTTTGAGAATTTTTTGCTAACCTGATTTTTAAGGCCCCGAGTCTCCATTTGGATTTCTGGGATTAAAGTAAAACCTACAGGGGTAATCTGAGCATTGGAGCCCACTGCAAAGGGGGACTTTAGACTCTGAATCCTCAAGTCTTGGGAGAGAATCTTGAAGTGGCCCCACGAAAAGCAGAGCAGGAAAGACTTTACAGCATCTATTTTGATTTGGACTCATTTGTGTAGCATTTACTGAGTGCCTGCAATGTACTAGGAACACACAGTTGTTCAGTTAATTTTCATCATAAACTTCCCTTCTCATTTCCTTCTAATATTTCACCAAAGATCCACAAAGAGCCATTCCCCACCCCTACTCCAGCCCTTTCTCCTCTTTCCACAACATCCTCATCTCTATACCACTGCCAAGAATGGTCAGTTCTGTCAAATGAGTTAACTTTTAAAAATATGTCACCAGTAGGCACATTTTAGCATGACTTCAGCCAAAGCTAAACTATCTAGCTACAGTTTTGACCTTGAGCCACCAAGAACTTAACACTCCTGAAGGCCATTAGTGTATAAGCTATCAAAGAGAAGTTAAAGTCACTTCTTTAAGGACTTGCCAAATCTCAGCCAATTTGGCATCACCCATCTTTCTGTTTGGTCATTTGTGAGCAAAGAAAACATATGCACACCCCCCCTCAGTTTTCTAAAAGCTTGCTGTTAAGGAATTGGTTTGAATCCATCTTCTTTCCTCTAATCCCCGTCATATTTCCTCTGCTGAATTCTGCAGGAGACCTTCTTGGCAGGGAGAGAATTACACTGCTGTTTTCACAACTGTGGTGGAAGGTCAAAGCTAACCATGCTTTCTCCAAGGCTGAGCCATGAGAAAGTCTGTACAGGAGCAGTACAGTCTTCCATGTACTCAGAGGCAAGCATTAAAATGAAAGGACAGCTTTTTGCTTTATGCTTCCAAATTAAGAGTCAGAAATGCCTTATACTATCTTCATCTAGTTATTATTTTCTTTTTATTAGTATTTCAGGATGTAAGGTTTTAAAAAACTGAAATAGATATGAAAAGGAAGTTGGTAAATTTCTAAATTTCTTTTCTCGGGCAGAGCCAGCGAGCAGGACAGCTTTGGGATCCTTCTAGATTTAGAAATCCATGTCTGTCTTCTAAAAACAATGAAAACAAAGGTGGGGAACAAAGATGTATGGTGCCTCCACAAGATTGAAACAGGAATCTGAAGAATTTATTTTAACCTCCACAGAAAGACTTAATACTAACCACCTTAGGAAAGTCACCAAACCTTACTAAATCTTACAATCTCTAAAGTGGGAATTACAATAATTGCCTCATCAAAGTACACTATATAGAAATGTGAGGTAAATCACCTGGGGTTGTAAGATATTGTAAGAAAATATTAATAATACCTTTCTTCTCTTCCTTGTCTTGGTGGCATCTTCTTTTGTTTCCTTTGGTTGTACTAAGAAACATTCTTTAGGCTGTAAAGAGATACAGATGAGGAAATTGTCATCTTAGCAGCATGAGGTGTCAACTAATAGTAGGTGCCCCAAAGTACCCAGGCCATGAGTGTATTCTTCAGAGTATCTTGGTGATACTGGGCTGAGAGAATTTGAGAAAATCAGAAAGTGCAGAGGACTTGAGATTGAAAAAAGCTTTGAACAAAGGTCAAAATGTGTGAGTGAGTGTATATGTATGTTTGAAGTGGTGGTTCAGGGTATTAAAGATTGAAGACAGTGGCCAGGTTTGTAAAACACTGGCAGAAACAGATGTGATTAAAATTAAGATGTGGTAAGAAAGTCTTTGACTAGTGTGACTGGCATTTTCCATGAACTAGCAAAGTGTGAGCCTGTATTTCCAAGTCATTGGTTTATTATTTTGTTACCCATTCCTTTCCTCTTTCAATAAGCATTGAAAAACTGAAATAGGACACGTTTACTTATACTTTTATAAAAACAGCTGCACCAAATGCCTTATCTATAGTGACTACAAAATGAATGTTTCTGCTGATGGTCTGACAAAAGTCTCAGCACAATGGCATTCTGAGTAATCAATTTTGCCTGTTGCCTTGACCCCTGAGTACCCTACACAGTTTAGTGCTATTTTTACCCTGAGGTTTTGTGTGTGTGTGTGTGTGTGTGTGTCTGTTTGTGTGTGTTTAATGTAGAAAAGCAGGAGATTTGGATCAAGACTTTGATTTATAAAATAGAATGCCTCAGATTCCATATTTATTAATCATAAGCAGGAATATAAAATGTTTCCTGTGCTGGTTCTTTTATGCAACATTTTCAAACAAGTTGCCAAGTAAGATATAAAATATAAGTGAAAACTTATTCTGAGTTTTTCCTGGATTAAGTTTCCATTCTAACTAGAAAGTACTCAGTTTAAGCTGGTAAGCTACTAACTCAAACAATCTTGTCTCCACTGGCTCTGTTTAAAATGATTACAGATGAAGCTTTCTATTAAAGTTTGCAGACAGCCTGCAGATTAAGAATGCCTATGGCCTGAATCCAGATGTATATAT